TACATACACATACATACACACACGTACATACACATACATACACACACGTACATACACATACATACACACACGTACATACATACACATACATGTATATATACATACATACACATACATGTATATATACATACATACACATACATGTATATATACATACATACATACACATACATACATACACATACATATACATACATACATACATACATTCATACAGGTGTGAAGTGATGTCAATCAAAAAAGCCATGATATTATATTTTTCTCATCATCTAAAAAGATAAATTGTGTCCATGGAATTTATCTGTGGTTAATAAACAATAAACTGTCCATGTGAAGAATTAACCTATAAGAGTCTGTTCATTCTTGGTTAAAGACTCTGGTCTCTCTGGTCTCTTTGACCACTTTTCTCTTTTTGGAGAACGCTATGTGAAATAACTTCTCTGACTCACGTATTATTCTCCTGCTCTACCTTCTCTTCCCTCGTCTCTCCCCCGGTGTGTGTATATCTCACTCGATTCAGGAATCTTGTCAGAATACCCATATTTGATTGGCTGAGCTGCATCACGTGATGTGATTTACAACGCATTGGGGTACATCTCAAGTCTCTTAATTGCATCCCCGTTTTACATGCGTTCTTTCCTTGCGTCTTAGTCCCTCCCACCAGGGATGCATGGAGGAAACCATGCGAGGAGAGAGGAAACGAGGAAATGTTTTAAGAGACATGCGACGTCCTTTCCTCAGTTGCGTCACGTTGAGCGACGTCTGTTTCAGATGACGGAGGATCAGCTGATCACAGCTGGATCAGCTGTCAGTAGGCTTTAACAGCTGGAGAGACTTTTGAGAAGTTTGTGTCTGTTCACATGATTCACTGTACTTAATAATAGTAACTAATAATACTAACAACTAATAAAGATACAGTTATCACTGTCGAGGTGTTTCTCTCTGTAGTCTGTTAAACTGTGTCCTGTGTTCTGTTTATAAGCGCAGGATCGATTTCTACGGGCGGAATGCGATCGTCTTATTTATGAATTATTTGCGTCTGTACGTTTTGAAATTGTGACTGTGGGGTCATTATTAAATAACCCAGAATATGATTATTGTTTCTCTTAAATGATAAAACTCAAACACTCAGGAACGATGTAAAAAGTGTTTAGTCTCTCCAGCTCCCTCCGACTTTAATTGTATTCATAATAAAAGTTATTGAGGGAAACATCAGATCATGAAAACACAAATCTTTCTAATAAATGAATAAAGTTGTTTGTGGTCCTTTTGTTGTTCAGACTACAATGAACATTTATTTAAACCAGATGTTGAATCAGAGGTCCCTCCTCCATCCTCGATCCTCGCTCCGCCGAGCTACATTAGAGCTTTGGGACGGCTGTTAATATGGCGGCGCAGAAACAACTTCCGGTTCAAGCGAGGATCGAGGAGCGAGGAAATGACAATTAAGAGACTTGAGAAGTACCCTTGGTCGGTGCGTTTCCTGCACCGCTGAACAAGTGCCGTAAAGGCTGAAAAAGCTGTGCCGGTTAAAATAGAAGCGCTCTGTCAAAATAAAATCGATTTTAGGTCCTGGGTCCGGATACAACGGCGTCTGGGTCCAGATTGGCGACCCCTGGTTTAGAGCATGGTCCTAAGAGACTTTCTTTTGAGTATTTATAGGATACATGTGTCTACTAAATTTCATACATGTAGGTGAAATGTAGCGATGGGGCTTTTTTCTTTTGAAAATTTGTAGGGGTCGCTATGGAGGCAATTCAAAACGGCCAAGCCAGAATCCAATATAAAATATGTCTTTGCATGACTTAAGACCCATGTACAAAGTTTCATGAGTTTTTGAGCGTCCCAAGCCACTGAACCATCAGCTCCTTTTTCATGGCAAATGATGCGTTGCCACAGCAACAGCGTTCAACAAAAACTCACAATATTCATGATGAAGCATCTTCAATGTCGTAAGGCTTTTCTTATGAAATTTGAGACTTATCTAGTTAACTGGCTAAGAGGAGTAAATAAAAGTATAAAATGTGACATTTCCTTTTGCCAGTAGGTGGCACTATGAGTTATTGAAATTTTTGACATTGATAAATGCTCAGACTTGAAGTAGCATCATGCATATGTAATTTTTGCAGATTGAATAATGTACCTTGGAGTTATAACAACTTTATTGTTCATGCCGAATAAGGCAAAATGTCCGCCACGCTACGTCAAGGTTCTTCCATGAAAACTCCCGAATTTGATAACTTTTCATCACAAAGGTCTGAAGAGCATCCTGACCAAATTTGAGGTTGATACCATTAATTCTGTAGGAGGAGTTTGTTTAAGTACAAAGGCTGAAAACTGCAAAAAGTGACAAAAAAGCACAATGTGGCGGGTTTACTCTAGTGCCCCCTAGTAGTTGAATGAAATGGAAATGTGAGGGTATGTTACAGGATGCAATGTGTACATATGCTGAAACTTTGGTGATTTTAGGGCAAATGGTTGAGAAGTTATGTGTATTGATACAGTATATAAGCCACGCCCCTAAGAGGTTTATTGGTCCATATGTTGTAAACGCAAAGAGATATCAAAAAGCTTTTAATAACCTTTGATGATGTAGATCCAATAATGATCCAGAGCAAATTCGGTAGCAATCGGACTCAGCGTGTAGGAGGATTTTGCAAAAATGTGTTTTTCACAAAATTCTAAATCGTGGAAAATCTAAGTGGGTGGAGTCTAGGGGTCTGAGAGGCTTTTTTGTAGAGCTAGCGGAGTTGGACATGTGTGTCAAATTTCAAGTAAATCGGACATACTGGCCGAGGGGCGTCGCTGGTCCAACTTCTAGGGGGCGCTAGAGAGTCATTTCTTTACAGACAAATATGCAACCTCTATCAGATGGCTATATTCACCAGGCCTGACAAGTGTGCAAAATTTGGTGAGTTTGAGTATGGCAAGTCCCCCAAATATGCGCCCAATGTACTATGTGTATTCGAATTTCAATTCGTTGTCGGTTGCCTGGCCCTAATTAAAGCTGCGAGCAGCGATGAACGGGCCCTCGCATCCTCCCGCACATCGGGGGTGCCGGCGGGACTCCGGCCTGCGCGGCTGAGAATTTCTGTGAGAATTTCCGCTTTTTTCCAGCGTGGGCCGCCTGATGCTGGAATTGATGCTTTACAAATAGTGCACCGCTTCCTGTATCTGCTGTGTGGTGCGGTAGAACACGGGCATACATGCATTATGTTCCTCTATATCAAGAGTAAACCACATTGTGTAAAAGTCTTGTAAATCGGATGACATTTTGTCAGAAAACGCAGATTTCCTTTCGCCAGCAGGTGGCGCTGTGAGTATTAGTGGAAATTAGCTTGTAGACATCCTCAGGCCATGAGTGTTATCAAGCATGGGAAGTTTGGGACTGTTTGGAACAAGTCCAGTTGAGTTACATTAGCTTGTTTTATGGGGAGTCGCGTAAAGTAGATGCCCACTACAGCTAAGCCATTCGATCAAACATAAAGCTTTTGATAACTTTTAATCACAACTGTCTTGAGATTGGGCCTTCACTGGCCCGACGTTGTCGGTTGCTCGGGCCCTAATAAACATTGGAAGAACAATAGGTCCTCCGCTCCGACAACGTCGGTGCTCGGGCCCTAATAATTATAAACATTAGAATAACAATAGGTCCTCCGCACCGACTATGTCGGTGCTCGGGCCCTAAAAACTAAATAACAACATAAGAATAAAAAGAAGCACACAAAGTAAAAGAAGTGTATAAGAAGTAATAATAACAGCAGTGCCTAATAGAAACTAAAATAGAAAAGGTATATTGTGCATCATATTGAGAGAAATATTGGCGATGACATTGAAAAGTAATATTAACTTATGTAGCACAGGATATATTGAAAGAAATATTACACATGATAATGAATCCTCCTTAAGGTGGATATCATGTTCATGAGAATGGACGAACCCGAAAACATCATTTAAAAACTGTAGTTACCAGATAAAGGACACCCTAATTGAGGTAAAGGGGTTCGTTTTGCTGTGTGTGGACCCCGAGAAGAGTAACTGCTACCTTTGTGGCAGCTAACAGGAACAAATAAAGAATAATAAACTGCAATCAAATGTGTGTTTTATATTTGCACTAAACTCTCCATAAACAGGTCTGAATCTTGTTTTCACTTTTTCTGCTGATCATTGTCAAAAACCCGAAGGAACCCCATTTCATGTGTTATTATAAAACAATAACCTGTATAAAAAAAAAAGTCCAAGTTAGGTGAATACTTTATGTAGGCTTCATGCATATGCAGTACACACAGGCTTCGTGTTCAACAACCCAGCATGCATTCATAGGCAAGCAGCAACAAATTATGCAATAACTGTTCAATTATGTAATACCTTTGGAAACTAAAGAATATACTCTAAATATAATAAAGACTGTTGTATCAGGAAGTATACATTTATTTTCTCATATATTAGTTAATTTATTGTGAAAATGTATGTTAATATTTACCTTTCTACTTAAATCATTGGTCTGAAAATGTATTTTGTAAACACGTTCTGGGAGATTTTGTTGAATTTTGCCACGTTATTACATAATTCAGTTGTTGTTACATTAGCCACTGTTACACATAGAGCAAATTATAACAGAAATGTCTACTTACAGACGTATCGCAGCCAACAACATGAAATCTGCAAGGTGCTTTACATTTACTGCAGAACTTAATATGGTCCACATACTGCAAAACAAAACAAAATAAAACGAGCTAATGATCTGCAGAACATGTTGTAGATTTGGATCCCTAGCTAAATGGTTAATGAGATAAATCTAACAGAATTATGAGAAATCACTTTGAAAAGAAAGATGTGGGATACCTTTTCTCTGGGGATCTTTTTCTTCGCACAACCTTCGCAAATCATCGGGTACTTTGGACAGATTTCATCATGAGCCTAAAAAAAGAATGAAAAGTACCTAAAGTTAGATCACTATAACAGAAATACTTCATCCTGGTGTAGTTGGCAACAATGTTACTAAATGTATCTTACGGTATAAAGTTTGAGCTGGTTAAAATTCACAACAACTGGACGTAGTCATCGTGATTGGTTTGTGGACTGCTGTTTTGAAGCATCGAGTTCAGGAATTTCGCCGTTGCCATCTTGGATTATGGTTGTCACCATGTTGTGTTTTCGCAACTAATGAACGGAAGTTAACAAACATCGAACAAAAAGTTCGGAAATTAGTGTTTGGTAGATTATTTCTCTGTTGTAACAATGCTTCTTGGCAATAAATGTTATACCGTTGGAAAGTCTGTTTATTTACCTTGCAAATGGTGCCCCATTTGTAAGGAACATGCATTTGTGGGATGAGCAGCCCAGCTGAGTATGTGGGTTGCGCCCATGAAAAATTTGCCAAATCTTCTCTGCCAATGCCAAACAGCGTATTCTGCTGTTGCTATTGACTCTTGTTTGGTGTTGTTTGGTGGATTGGATGATTGAAGTCTGTCAGTAACAAGGAAGAAACAAGACATATTGGCAATTTTACAATTTATTCATTTAACAAACAGGAGCCTCAGTAGTGTGTGGAAGAAACATACACAGCCACAACAACCTGGCACCTCCTCCTCATGCTGGTCACACACTGCTGTGGGATGGCATTCCACTCCTCAAGCAGGACTTGTCGCAAGTCAGCCAACATGGTTGTGTTGGTCACTCTGGCAGCTGGTCCCACAAGTGTTCACTTGGGTTGAGGTCAGGACTGCTGGCAGGCCATTCCATCCTCTCTACTCCCAAATTCTGGAGGTAGTCTCTGATAAACCCCGCTCTGTTGGGGCGAGCGTTGTCATCTTAGAGGATGGAGTTCAGTCCCAGACCGTGGAGAAACTGGTTGCAGAATCTCATCTCGATATCTCTCTGCATTGAGATTGCGTCCAATGAAGACAAGCCTCGTTTTTCCAGTGATGGAGATGCCGCCCCACACCATCACACTGCCTCCACCAAAAGGTGTTACTCTATCAGTGCAGCAATCAGCATAGCGTTCTCCCCGTGTTCTCCACACTTTGACCATACGATCCAACTTCCTTAGACATCGCTGAACATAACGTGTTCACATGTTCAGGTTCCAGTGTAGGTGTTGCCGACACCAGCGCAAATGGGCCTGACGGTTAATAGCAACAGCAGAATAAGCTGTTTGGCATTGGCAGAGAAGATTTGGCAAATTTTTCATGGGCGCAACCCACATACTCGGCTGTGCTGCTCATCCCAGAAATGCATGTTCCTTACAAATGGGGCACCGTTTAAAAGGTAAATAAACAGGCTTTCCAACGGTATAAAATTCATTGCCAAGAAGCATTGTTACAACAGAGAAATAATCTACCAAACACTAATTTCCGAACCTTTTGTTCGATGTTTATTTGGAATGCGAAAGAGTGACTTAGAGATGGCGTATATGGCTCTGGTAGCAGCAGCGACCTGTCAATCACAGTGTGCCCGCCCTAAAGCATACTCTGCTTTATGGTCTATTTGACTCTAAATGGACTCTTAATAAATCAAGTGAGAAGTAGGGTCATTTTCTCATAGACTTCCATAGTATTGGACTTCGTTTTGCAACCAGGAGTCGCCCCCCTGCTGGTCAGTAGAGAGAATGCGAGTTTTAGGACACTTCGGCATTTGCTTCACTCGGCAGAACCAGAGGTTGCCGCCTGGTTCCAAAGCAAAAGGTAAAGAAAAAGGTTTTATTTCTCTGAAGGATCATTTCCATAATGTTGACAGACACTTATAAAAACAATCTGAGTCTGTCAGTGGCACAAACGAGCACTTTTAGTTGACGTACATTGCCGGTAAGGAGTTGGCTTGAGTGATAACTGTCTGCAGCGTTCTACCTCAATACCAGTCCAATTAAAGAAATTGTTGTCCCTTAGACACAAAGAAATGGCGTCCTGGTAGAAAAAAACAAAAGGAAGTTGCCCCTAAACACAACCCATTCAACAAACCCTAAAGACAGAAAGTCCCATTGGTTATTCGTGTCATTGGCTGACTGGAGGAAAACGTATACAACCTGTTGTCATGTGACCTGAGTTCTGTCCCGCCAACCGTTATGACAAATGAGACATGACAATTAATAATATACTTTGAACACAACAAAAGTATGTATGTCCCTGGACCAGGCGGCAACCTCCAGTTCTGTCAAGTGAAGCAAATGCTGCAGTGTCTTAAATTTGCATTCTCTCTACCGACTATCAGGGGGCGACTCCTCCGAATGTATAGAAGTCTATAAGAAAATGACTATTTCTCACTTGATTTATTACCTCACTAAATATTGTAAACATGAGTTTATGGTCTCAATCTCTAGTTTCAAGTCTTCTTCAATACAGCATAATGTTCAATTAGTAAATTATTGTCCAATTAGAGCAGACCTGGGCATTGTACGGCCCACGGGCCATATTCGGCCTGTTGTCCGTCAATGGGAAATTAGGAATAAAACTTAAATAATTGTACATCATGCACAGAATACAGATGCATTGCTTTTATTTTGAAGATGTTGGTTCCAGATCCTCTCTCACTGACGATCACCTGTCAGCTGTCCTTCACATATCCACCTCAGACATTCAACCCGACTTCAGTGCACTCGTTCACTGAACTGAAAAACAGAAAATTAGGTAATTGGACTACAAACAAAAGTAATAAAAGTACTAATTTGGCAGAAACATGATCCTCGTCAGTGTTTTACTATTATATATGGATATTACGAATGTATATTTGTTTGGATCATTATTCCTGCTGCAGATGTTTAAGGTGGAGCTCATTTTAACTCCTTTATACACTGTTGTGTTAGGAAAGGTTTGAAAAATTATAATGTGCAAAGTAACTAAAGCTACCAAACAAATGTAGTGGAGTAAAAAGTACAATATTTCCTTCTGAGATGTAGTGGAGTGGAAGTACAAAGTTGAATAAAATAGAAATACTCAAGTAAAGTACCTTGAATTTGTAAATAAGTACAGTACTTAAGCAAATATACTTTGCATTCCACCACAGATAATATTTACTCTTACCACTCACAGCTTATCAAAACCATACAATTTACTTTTTATAAAGAGGTGGAATACTATTGAGCAGGATTGAGTTCAGTCTATTGGTCTGGCCCTCCGCAACAGTCCGTGTCTCTCATGTGGCCCCTTGGGAAAAATAATTGCCCACCCCTGATTTAGAGTCAAATAGACCATAAAGCAGGGTATGCTTTAGGGCGGGCTTACTGTGATTGACAGGTTGCTGCCGGTACCAGAGACATATATGCCGTCTCTACTTCACTCCTCCACATTCCAAATAGGTTAACTTCTGTTCATTAGTTGTGGAAAAAAACAACCAAGATAATCCAAGATGGTGACAGCAAAAATGCCGAACTTGAGGCTTCATAACGGCAGTCCACAAAGCAATGGGTGACTACGTCCACTTCTTATATACAGTCTAATATGTTACAATATTACAGTATGTCCCTAAAAACATCGGCTCCCTAAATTAATTTCATATACAGTGAAATACTGTATGTTATAATTCTAGCAATAGAGAGAAGCCTGACCTTGATGTTCTTTAACAGGAAGGGTTCCTTGCAGTATTTGCAGTTGAGCGTCCTTTCTGGACATTCTCTCTCGTTGTGGCGCTCCTGTTCGTTGGCCCTCATCAGCTCTTTGCAGGAGGGACACAGGATGATCATGAAGTCACAGTTGCCCTCGTGGTTGGCCTGCAGGTGACCAACAAAAAAACACTTTTTATAATGTCCACTTACTGTTCTATGAACTTGGGTGTACTTTGATGATGTCACTCATTGTAGATTGGGGAGTGTATAAGGATTTAACTGACAATTGCCTTGAAAAAGTCCAGTGTGTTGTAAACGTTATGTATATGCTAAAGTCATTCTGGTTTTTACGTAACATTCCATACAGGCGCGTCTACAAATACTTGAAAAAAACAGTTTGTTCTGAGCTTAATATCCATCAAACATCAGACAGCCCTCTGGACGTCTATTTTGGTCTCACCATAGCACAGGAACGGCACATATAAAAGTTGAACGATCCACATATAAATACATGCTCTCATAGAGTGGTGAAGTCCCGCACCTTCCGTTGGACCACCATGGGACCTTATTTCGGAAAAAAAAAATATGTACAATAGTAAACGGCGAAAGACAAATCTTTTGAATTGTTCCATTTATTACACATATGATGGTTGTCAATTATAAGTCAAGTGAGTCGCATTTTGTCGTAGAACTGTTGAAGTTTAAGACTGAAAAAACATATAATTAGAGATACTGCACAGACAGACGTTGTGTGAGTGACGTCTCTCGCTGTAGCTACGATGACTATGTGTTCCGTAACGGGACAACAACGGGTATTGCTTGTTCTTTCCCCATCAAAACTAAACATCGTTTTTTTTTATTCTGCTACTTATATACAAGCTCTAGATTACCTTGCACCAGGGCTGAGCGATATGGAATAAATCAAATATTACAATATTCTGACCAAACGATATCACTATTGCTACGATATTGTAGAGCTGGCTCTCTGTGCTTTTCACAAACTATTCACATAATGAGATTTTTCGTAAATAATCATCGGTAATCTGGATATTATGACTAAGTCGGTAAAGGCAATTAATAAAACAGATAGAACAGTGTGGTGAGTTCAAAAAATGACATCACTTTCCAGAAATGCAGCCTTTAAAACCGGGAAATGACAACACCTATTCGATATTTCGATATCCAGAATCTAAGAAGATATCTCGTCACATATCATGATATCGATATAATATCCATCTTTTGCGCAGCCCTACCTTGCACCTAAAAAAACATGCTGATTAGATACAAACCAGCAAGAGCCCTCAGTTCCATAGGTATCGGTCTTTTAACCATCCCTCGTTCTAACTCTAAAGCAGCTTAAAACATTTCTCTTGAAAAGAGTCTATGGCTACAGTCTTAGCGTGTGTGATCGTGTGTGTCATGTTTATTTTGGCATATGTATATTCTGCACTTATGTAATTGCACTTATTTTATGTCATTTTTCAAGTAAAGCGCATTGTGTTGCATTTCTTTTACGCATATAATCTGCTTTATGAATAAGAGTTGATAGTACGAGGAACAACCACGAATTTGCACCTCAAATTCTTTGATGGTCCCCGTCCACGTGCATCCTTCGTTGGGACAGACGGCCCCCAAGGCCTCCACTTCTCTCCGAGCCGCATTGTCGGGGAAAGCCTGCACGGAGAAGCAGAGGTTGTTGTCCGGTTCGTGTCTTCAATTCCAGGTGGAGGAGTTGTGTTACAAATGCTCTGCATCAGTTTCCTGGGGATCAAATGTTTTATCTCCTGGCTCTAATTTCCCCGGCACATATGGTCATTCTAGGGACGCGGGACTATCGTGGCTTCTTCTATTTTCTACACAAGCGCAATCAAAGTTTTTATTGTGCTGGCTCTACACTCCGACACATTGGATCGGAAAACAAACCATGACTGAGACATTACAGTGCTGAGTTTTAACATCCTCAGAAATGTCATCTCTCCACACCTGCTACCCAAAGAACTCTACTACTAATGACAGACTGGTGATTATGTCAACAAACTAGGGAACTTATGCTGCATTCACATGGAATCGGGCAGACAGTAGACAGCACGGGAAAAACAAACAGTCCAATGCAATGGCAGGATGGCAAACAAAATACATAAAGTGAAATAATTGTATCTCTACAGATAGCAGGTAGCATATGTGCATCCATTAGTGAGTGAGTGGGCACCTCTGTGTCTGTCCACGGCTAATCTCCCATTCTGCTGCAGCAGACTGCATTATATTTTTGGTGGCCAGTTAATCTCCCATTCTGCTGCAGCAGACTGCATTATAATTTTGGTGGCCAGTTATGGCTGCATTGTCAAGGATCTCTCTTGGTTGCCGTGACTCAAAACACCTTTTGTTGCCTGTTTTATACCGCTATTGACCCTGCTGACTCCTCACTCACTACTCTTAACCGGCTGCTAGGGGCCGCTAGTGATAACACAGCTGAGTGCATCTACCGACTTATTACATCTGAATGGAGCATCAAAGTTCCTGCGAGGAACTTTCATTTTGTGTTGATTGGTTGTCCCTGTGGACAACCAATCAACACAAAAAAAGTGTTTCCGAGCAGCAGATTCCCTCTCATTTTACTGCAGCAGGTTCCCCGTGCATTCCTGGCTCTGGTTCTCCCGCGGCCAACAATACGGCCTGTGCCTCCAGCTGGGCACAGAGTTCTCCATCTACCGCCAGAGCTCCAGCTTTAAGTCAAAAATCAGCAGAAAAATCAGGATCTAGGTATTTCCGCGGCGGGCTGGTCGCTGAAGGAGTGTCTGGTGAACCTACACAATTCCGTCTGATGACGCCGGAATCGGACCCAGTGGCACCGATGAGAAGCATCAAGAATAACTATATAGAAATAGCCAATCTTCTCACTGGTGGTCTTGTTTGCTTATGTAGGTCAGATAGAGACATCCGGATTAAATTAAGACTGTTTCAGAACCAATTCAAAGTTCCTTGTGGTAACTTTAAATCATAGTAATGCAATATTTAATCTAAGTAAGGAGAAAAACAAGATGCAATGTAGGGTGAAAAAATGTACGTACCCCGCCTTGCTTAAGAATGGAGGTGGGTTCCTCAAACAAGTCTTCTTTGATGCAAGCACTGCACTTCTGTGGTCCAGAACTTGAAGGGAGGAAAGGCAAATATTAGATAAGTATAGATACTGTGCCAAAATTAAACTACCATCTACCGTGTGTCGGACAATATAGATGCTTGATGTTACCGTCACCACTCTCCAAATGCTGTTTAGGTCCATTGAACTCACTCAAGACCCTAGGATCACTGATTATAAAAGGTAGAATCTCAACTAAAGGTTTCATCTGAGCTTTTGACTGCATCTCATGGTCCTCAAGTGAACGCCAGACCAAAACCGGTCACAGCTCCATTTGCTTATGAAGACCCTTGAGATGAAGGCTTTAATAAAGCTAGTAAGTAGACCTTGAGTTGAGATAACATATAGAGCTGAAATTATTACTTGAGTATGTGATTGGGTCGATCGACAAAAATAAATAATCAACCACCATTTTGATTCACTTTTTAGTAGTTTGGTATCATTCTGAGTAGAATATATCTGGGTCGGTAGAACAGAACTAGTCATTTGAAAATGTAAATTTTGACAGTAGAAAAACGTGATTTGAGATTTTATTGAAAAAATGATTGACCGATTAATTGAGGAAAACATTGGCAGATAATGGAAATAATCATTAGCTGCAGTCCTACACACACTATAGTCTATTTTGTCATTTTATTGAAGGTATTGCTTAAGTTCATTAAAAAAATGTTAAAGTCACAAGTTTAATTTATATCCACACAAGAAACCAGACAACTGTGGCAAATGATATCAGAAGTAACAAGAGAGAATAACATGTTTGTATTGCAATAGTCTCACTACAGGAAACCCCCGATCACATGCAGTTGGTAAGTAATCAGTTCCCGTCCTGCAGCAAATGCATAACCAGATTTGGGGGCCCTGCTTTTGGGTCCCTATCCAACCCCCCCACCCTCTGTGTAACTGTATACAATATGTACCTTGACAAGTTCCCAGCAAGTACAGTGCATTAAGCGAAAATACGTTTTTTTGTCATTTAGTTGTGGGAAGTCTATTTTTTTTTAATTATTACAGTTCCTGACATTTGTATGATAAAAAAGAATAGCAATAATAATAGTAACAATAATTTAGCAAGTAGTGAATACGTATCTAAATATATCTATACCTACACATGCATGCATACATACACATAGAACCATGTACACAAAAGTTTCATATGCACTAACAAGCACGCACAGCCGGCAAGGTTTTGTAAACAAAGCACAGAGAAACTTTTTTTTTAACACATACACGGAGGGAGTGTGTCTCTTCTCAGGTAGACAACAACACTATACCTTTAAATAGCACATAGTTCCTTGCGGCTATATATCGAATTTAGCACCGTCAACTAAACAAATATTTTGGAATATGGACTATAAAAGCATAATATTAACTAATATAATGTCTGGATTTCAACCAGGGGGACCCTCTCTCCAGGGAGAATCATTTCACGGACTGTTCTACACCCCCAATCTACATAGTCACAGAATCTGATGGGTCACAGATTTATGTGTGACATAGTTGCTAACAGGTTTTTTTTTTTGAATAAAGGTCACAGAGATGCAGACAGGATATGCCTGGCTGTGGCAGCAAATGTTACTCTTGGCGATGCTTGCACCAAAAATGACTGATCCGAAAATAAAACTATATATGAAAACTAAAAAAAAAAAAAACGGCGCAGACACATGCGCACTGTAAGAATGAAAAATCTGTGATCTCACAACCAAGCTTGACTTCTCACTGCGCCGTTAGTCCAAGTACGAAAAATTATGATATATAAGATTTTTTTTTTAAAGCCTATTCCTGTTTCTGTTTAATGACAAAAAAATGAATAAACTAAGTCAGTCGTACTCTCGTTCCTACTGCTGTCATTCTAATATTGAAAAACTACTGAAAAGCACATGTAGTACATGTATTGGATAGACCCTTGTCTGGTCACCTTATCTACCATATGGATAAAGGTCATCATAAACTCAGATAAGAAAATGCAGAGTTTAATATTGGCTCGCTTATCGACAAAGATACTAACTGACTGGAATACATTTGAAATATTCTATCATTTGCCGGACCTTCTCGTAAATTCGGCATGCATGTCAACCTGATTTTACGTGAATACAAAACACTGTCAAGTTCAACTCAACTGCTTGCTCGGGCTTGCCACGTCAGAGGTTAGCAGACTAGACTACGAGGGCACCTGGGACAACCCGTCACACAGATTCATATTTTATTGGGATCAAGTTGGTGAATTACCTGCACGCCGAATTGTTTGGTGGGTCTTCGCACTGTGTTGATCATACTTGTCCGTGTGGTTGCATAGGCGTTACCAGCAACAATAAGCAGGGCAGCATTACATTTAAGGACATTTAAAGGAGGGCTGGTGACTCCGATCGCTCATACGGGCTACCCATCTAGCTAGCTTCCTAGCAACGACACTACTCACCTCACAATTTTGTTGAAACAGAACGAACAAAAGCGGTGACCGCATTGGGCTTGCAAGGGCCTTCTCAACACTTTCTGGCACGAGTTGCACAAATGCTTGTCCTCGAGGCTGTTGGCCAAAATTTTCTTTGGGAAGCCAGGTTTGTTGCCTTCCAGGGAAGATGGTGGAGACTGCTCCTGCGCAGCCATTATTCCCCTTGAACAATATTGAGGTACTCAGCGGGGTGCGTTCAAGAGAGCGAGCGCAGCTGAATGCAGTTTTACAAACAATAGCCGGCAGCGACCCATTGCTCTTTGACAGTTTATTAAAATATGCATCCCTGCTTATGCTAAGAACGCATATTTGATCGTCATATTGCATTGACAAATAAGACCGGGCGTTTTCATGTGATAGATGTGACAGCTGAGGATGCTACGTTCAGTTGTAAATTACTACGTCTGCCGCTAGGCGCCGCGAGAAGAGAGCAGCGACGAGGCGAGTACCACCAGGAAGCAGGCTACTGCTCAGTGCTGGATTGGACCGCGAGAGCTGCGGCAAAGCAGCGATATTTAAACCGGTATAATCTCAGAAGTGTTGTCATCATGTCTTCAAAATAAAAGCAAGGTATTCGTATTCATCAGTTTTAGGTTGTGCAGAATCATATTGTAGAGAGCAGTAGACTATGATAGAATAGAGGAGTTCCCACTGAAATCATTTGGAAAATATATGACAGGTCAGTTAATCCAAATTACATGAAATACATACATACATTATTGCTATGGCATTTATCACTGCAGATAGTTTTGCTAGTATTTGCCCAGATTTTCAGATCTCCTCTCCACCTCTGACATTTTTGCTGCCCCTTAAATTCTACATAAGAAGTATAGGGCCTCCTTTATAATGAGCAGATTGTCCTTCAAAATCTGTTCAGTGACTTATGTCTTTGGATTATCCTAAATAACGGCATTCGTTTCTGGAAAAATATGTTGTTGTTGTCGTTGTTGACTTTTCCCCACAATGTAGCGCATCAGATAGAGTTCAGTGTCCAGTTATGGAATTTTAGATGCTCAAATTTCGATTTCCTCTTGGGGGCTTTTAGGATTTCTCATCTATTTAACTGTTGAGATTCAAAGTTAATTATTGTTCTTGGAAACTATCCACTGATATATAATCAACAGTGGCCGAACAGTTACTGAATGGAACTTGTGGTGGGAGTGCTTTCTCAACTGTTGCTTCCAGGGTCAATAATTAACTTCTTGGCTGTCAAATGTATGTTTTTAATGCGCTTATGAGCAAATACGTATGCTTTATTTTGAAAGATGTAACGGAAGTTGTACATTTGTGTCTCGCGCTTGTAGCTGTGTCTATGTGGCTGCTCTCTTTTGCAAAGGAATGTCGCTGCTGCTACATCTCTGTTGGGATGGAGGACTGACAGATGTTTCGAGAAAAAGATGTCGGGACTGCAATTGCTCGTATTAATAAATAACCGTGAGTATTTGCTGCTCATACTACCTGAGAAAAAAGCATCCAGTCTAGCAGCGGTGTAATGTCAATGAGCGTACGGTGGGGAGCTAAGCTAGCTAAGCTAGCTAACATCGTCTGGAGAGCTAGCTACAACAGAGCCGAGGGATAACGTTACACAGCCAGTGTAGGTTACATATCACTGTTTCACTATTGACATGCCCTTCGGAGTATTTTACTTTAATCAATTCGGTATAGTTGAATCAAAACTTTGATAAATAACCCTGTCAGGAGCGCTAAACAGTCTGGACAGTTAATGCAAACGTGAGGTGGATAACGTTAAAGGGAAAATTCACCCCCAGAATAATTGAGTCACGGTGTTGCACCGCTCGACTTTACATGTGAGCTGTTCTCTCTTTAAGTTGACCAAAGTCACTGCACGGATGGGAACTAGAGACCCGTCCCGAGGCTGGTCTGGTGGTGAATAATGTAACGGCTCTTGTGACAGCTCGGACCCATTAGGATTTAATAGGGACACGGAGCAGCCATATGTCCTTATTCAGCACTAGCAATTCTCTCATAATCGACTAGTCGTTTTGTCTCTAATGCAATAACACATTCATGTAGACGAATCTTACTTATAATTCCAACGTTTTTTCAAATCGTACAAATTTAGCACAGACATGTAATTTCAGGCTAGCCATTTTTTTTGTGGATTAGGAAGCAATGCTAGACCGGTGAGAACATTTTTTATTGTCTCATTGTAGGATTATTTCTAGAGAACAATTTTGGACATGTGCTTTACATCAGAAAATAAAAATAAAAACATCCATAGATAAAATATGAAATATAAAGATAAGTAATGTGAAAAATAATACTAAGTACAGGAATAAAAATACTGTCAAAACAAACATAGTAGCATCCAGTGGCGGCTGGTGGAACATTTTCTAGGTAGGGCCATCCAATCAATTTCAGCAAACATCCCAGTATGATTTAATGCAAAAAAATGAAGGTATCAAACACGCATTACTACTTTGCAGTTAAATATTTAACATTTATTCCAACACAAAAAAAGCAGTAAATAACACTTTGATAAACACGTCAGGACATCTGTATATCTATATATATCTATATATCTATCTATATATATATCTATATATATATAT